TTGGAGGTTAAGATTCCAATACATGAGCTTTTGGGAAACACATTCAAATCATATCCCATACCAAAACAAGGTGAGGTCAGTACAGTAAAATGAAGTTGCAGCCTGATCTCACTCATGCACATAAATGCAAAAATCCTAAGCAAAATATGAACAAACCAAATTCATCCTTTATCCACATATATTTATTTCCTTGATAGATAAAATAAAAATGGAAAAGCCATAGCCATAGAACACTTACTCATAATTAATAGAAAACAGAAACATCTTGGAAAGCCTGAGTTATAGAGGACCTTTCAAAACATTAGAAGAGCCCCTATTTAAAATTAATAGACTGGATTGTGTGTGTGTGTGTGTGTGTGTGTGTGTGTGTTCTGCGTGAGTATTCAGTTGTGTTCATTCTCATTTCCTATGTTTCACTTGAAGTTAAGCCAGTGCACTAAGGCACTAAGACAAGAAATACAAATAAATAGTGTAATAATTAAAAAGAGGAAACAATATTCTGTCATTTACAGGTGATATGTCTAAAGAAAATCTAAAGATATCTATCGGTAAATTATTAGAAATAAGAGTTTAATAAGATTATTGGATTTAAGAATATATACAAATTGGGCCAGGGATTTAGCTCAGCAGCACTGCACCTGCCTTGCAAGCACAAGGTCCTGAGTTCCCAAATTAATTGCTTTTTTCTTTACCAGCAAAATTAGAAAACACAAAAGATAATATTTTAAATCATAATACAAATTCTAAGATACTTGTGAATGAATCAGCAGAAGATGCACAAGATATATAAAAGCAGTTATGGGACTTTATTAGAGAACATTGAAAAGTTTCTTAAAAATAAAAACATTGCTTTATAGGCAGCAGACTCAAGATCAGAAACATGTCAGTTTTCCACATGTTCAGTAGATAGATAGATCCAGGAAATTCTCATGAAAATCCCATTAGTATTGGATGATGTTGACAGATTCAAAAATTTATAAGAGCAAAAGCCCAAGAATAATGAGTACATTTCTGAAGGAAGAGGAGAAAAAAAGATGGAAGCTTCTGTCACATGTCAGGATTACTGTGAAGCTGTAATAATTGCAACTTTAATACAAGCCCAGTGGTCCCCTTTTATCCACAGGGGAACATCTAAGACCCCAGTAGATATCTAATGCAGGAAACCAGAAAGCGCTGAGCCCCATATAGGCTGTTTTCCCTACTCATACATGCAGACCTATGATAAAGTTTAAGTTCAGTTAAGCAGAATAAAATTAACAACAATAATAAAATAAAGCAATTATAACTATGCTGTAATAGCTATGTGAATATTGTCTATCTCTTAAAATACTGTACTTTTGCCCCTTTTCCCTTAAAGGAAGTACTTTATAGCTTCTTTTTGGCATATTGAAGTAGTGATGGCCAGCATCACTGCTCTTCTGCTTTGGGGCTATTATTAAGTTTTAAAAAAAAAAGGCTAGTAGAACACAAGCACTGGGATAACATGCAGTCAGTTTGATACCAGAGATGGCTGGTAAGTGACTAATGGGCAGGTACTAGATACAATGTGGATACAGTGCACAAAGGGATGACTCATGTCCCAGGCAGGATGTGGTGCTGCAAGAGATTTCATCATGCCTCTTAGAACTGTGTATGTAATTTATGAATCATTCATTTCTATATTTTCCATTCAGTGTTTTCAGACCATAATGGACTACAGATAACTGAGTCTGTGGAAAGGAAATGAGGGAGGAGGGGAAGCTATTGTACAGAAAAGTTGGCCACTATATCCAAAGCAAAAGCCCAAAATACAAAGCTAAATGGAAACCAGAGATGTGATCAAAGTGATGTGGTACATCATGAGGAAGGGGTAGGATAGTCAACAAACAGTGCCTGGACATCTGCTTATCAACACGGGGCAAAGTGGAGCATAGGTCCCTACATCAAATTTCAGACAAATATCAACTCTGGATTGAATAAAGCTTTAAATGTAAAAATAAGGCTTTAAATTTTTAGAAAAAACTCTTTTTGACCTGAGGGTAAGAAAGAATGTCTTAAATAAGACAAAACTCATTTTGTTCAATTACATTAGAATTTAAAAATTCTGTTCTTTGAAAGACAATCTTAAAGAGTGAAAAGGCAAGCTGCTAATACTGAAATATTTGCAATACACTATTAACAGGTTTAGTATCCAGAATACAAGAGTAATAAGACAGAGTCAACCTATTTGAAAAGTGGACAGACTGAAAAATACAATGATCAATAACAAAACAGGAATGGCAGATAAGTACTCAGAAAGAAGCCAAACTCAATTATTAAGTAATCAAATTAAGACCATACTTTATACCTCTAAATTGACAAAAATTAAGCTGACAGTATCATCTGTTGATAAGGTTGAAGACTAGTGAGCACAGCCACATGCAGCTGATGGGATGTTAAAATAGAGTAGCCACTTTGGAAAATAATTATTTGGAAAATAATTTTAAATTATTGTTGACAATTTGCATAGCACACAACCCAACAAATGACTTCACATCTAGGCTTATCTCTAGAACATTATTTTTCAAACTGCAGAGTAGCTGAGTCTGGCTATATATATATATATATATATATATGAACAAAGTAGAATAGAAAATGAGAATACTTCATTCATAGTAAGAGTAAACATTGCTTTGTGATAGTGTTTCTAGTACAGATGAGTATGTGTTTGTGTTGGGTTGTAAGAGAGGGGTACTCGAGAATTGAAAACAGTGCCCTCTGAGTTCTTGTATGTGTGTGCCTTGGGCAACATACCTAAAGCGAATTATTTATAATAGCAATAAATTGGGGAGAAAAGATACCACATGTCCACTGACAGGAGAATGGATCAAAACCTGTACAGTGGGATATTACACAACATTAAAAATGAACTTTGGTTACATATAATATAGATAGATATTAGAAATATAATGTTGAGTAAAAACTTAGTTCCCAAAAGGGTATAAACATGGTGTCCTAGTTATAAATCTCCAAAAAAATTCTGCACTTAGCAATATATTATTTAAATATATGTGTGTGTCAAGTATATTTTTTAAAGGAAGAGCAAGTTATGGAATTTTTTTTTTTTTGAGACAGGGTCTCACAATGTAGTTTTTGCTGGCCCTGTACTTGCTATGTAGCCCAGGCTGTCCTCAGACTCGAAGTGATCCTCCTGTTTTAGCCTCCTGAGTGCTAGGATTATAGGTGTGCACCACCATTCCTGGTACAACAATGGAATATTAAGCCATAAAAAGAATAAAGCACTGATACATGCTACCAGTAGACGGACCTTAAAAACATGCTCTGTGAACACCAGATACAAAAGGCCACAGAGTTTGATTGTTTTCATATAAAATATCCAGAATTGGCAAATCCAGAGACAGAATGTAGATTAATAGTTGTCAGAAACCGCAGGGTGGGGAGAGGAATGGAGAGGAACTGCTAATAGGTGTAGAGTTTCCACTGGGAATGAAGCTAGAAATGTTCAGGAACTAGAAAATGATAAGAACTAGATTGTGGTAAAAGTACATAACATGAAATCTACGGTTTAATATTTCTAGGTGTACAATACTATATTAACTATAGTGTTGTACAACAGGTCTCTAGAACTGACTCAATGTGCACATCTGAAAATTCATGCCTGTTGGTTAGCAAGCTTTTGAAACAGAAGAGCAAGGGAATGGTTAAAAATATATGTAGTCAGAATACTGATTACTTCTGGGAATCAGGCAGGGAATAGGTTGCAGAAAAATATAAGTAAATGCAGTATTTGCAATGTTCTTGTTTTTGAGTTATTTATAGGTATTCATCTTATTACTGTGTTTCATGACGTGTGTGCTGCGTATTTCTATAATACAGTATGTAATGTAACCTTTAAGAGAAAAATAATTCAAAAATAAGACAGCCCTACAGGTAAATGGCTGACTGGCTTCTGGTCTTCTGATACAGACATTTTGAATCCCCATGGAGTCCGGCTTCTGCATGGCTCTGGATGCAGTTGTACTGACCCCTGGTGGCTGGAAAGTGAAAGGCAGCAGGGTGACGTGATCAGGGTCCAGAGAAATTCACAGGAAGTTTCCATGCTCAGACCAAGTACCTGGCAGGCCAACTAGGCAGTGGTCCAGGGGTTTAGGCTTTATCCAGTCTCACGCCGTGTGGGAAGGAGTCTTGGACATTCCTAATATGGGTTCCCTGCCCTTTTCCTTGGCTCTGTACCACTGTCATGTAAGCTCGGCTGTGAGGAGTGCAACTCCATCAAGACCTGTCCCTGGTTGAACCAGAAGGCCTCCATCCAGATGTTAGGGCTCGGTGAGCCCGAGTGGAGCTCCCAGCATCTCTTGGAAAAGGAGAGACTTGGATGGTGATGGTGATGTTTCCAAATTCCCTTTGTTTAATCACGTCACCTCTGGGGGAGATGATGAATTGAAGCCTCTGAGAAGAGTTGACCTGGCCGCTTCAGAGATGTGAGGGTCAGCTGAAGGGACCTGCCAGTGTCCCTCCCCACTGCTGGCTGGACTAGGGCTTTACCCCCTCCCAATCTGATATAAAGGAGAATTTCTAACAGGGGTTATTGGCTATGAGAACTGAACCAGGAACTGAGATGGCCACAGAAAGATGGCCCAGAGAATGGGACACAAAGGAAATCATGACAAAATCCTGATGCTCTTGCGGCTTTGGCCCTGGAAGCAGTGTGACACAGGAGTTCCTGGGCTGCTCTGGGCCCTCGGCCCTGCTGCTCACTCTGTGTCACTGAGCCTCCGTGTGCTTCAGGTTCTTGACATGGCTTGGTTGTTAATCTCTCTACTTCGGTCCTATTAATTGAATTAATGCCTGCGGAACACTTTTAAGAGTCTGGTAAATGTCGGATGGTTCATTTGTGAGTGTTTGAATGTTCCCCGGGCTTGGAGTAGAGCTGGGGTTTGACTTGCCCCAGGCCAGGCTGATGGTGTGGGCAGTGGAGGTGTGGTTCCTGTCCAGGAAATAATGACTTCCTCTGTCCCTAGACGTGATGGAGGTGGTGCTGATCTTTCTCTGCAGCCTGCTGGTCCCCGCAGTCCTGACCAGTGGTGAGTAGGACAATGGCAGCCACAGCCCTTTCTAGTAGAAGGTTCTGGCCCTTTGTGGACTTTGAGCCTAAACCTTGGAATTCACTGCACGTCAGTGTCTAGACCATAAGTAGCCATTTCTGGCCTTATACACGTCATGAGGCCTTTTCTGGCCTCAGTTTCCCCATGTGTCAGAGAATGACAGACCTTTTTGAGATGACACAAAAATAAAAAGGGGCACTAAATGTGGGTGTGCTGTGAATACAGGACCTCGCTGGGGCTCTGGGCCCTACCTGCTCCAAGGTCTTGTGTTGCCCCTGAGCCCTGCAGGCTGGCCCTTCCATGCATCTCCAGTATGTCCTGGGAATTCCTTTGTGGGTGCAGAGATCTGGGAGGTAAGGTGAGCTATTTCAGGATGTGCAGCTGTCTTCTTCCTGACCCTGCCTGTTTACTTTGTAGCGACTGAGCAGGAGAAAGAAACGGACCCTTTTCATTATGGTAAGTGGCCTCAGCAACCCTGGGTGCAGGGGATGGGGGAGTGGGGTGCAGCCCCATCAAAGGAGGGGTGGACACAGTCTCCTAGCCCTGCCTTGTTTCCATTGCCCACTCCTGGTTCCTTTGGCAGACTACCAGACCCTGAGGATTGGGGGATTGGTGTTTGCTGTGGTCCTCTTCTCTGTTGGGATCCTCCTTATTCTGAGTAAGTTTCTTTGTTCTTCATTTATGGTGGCTCCTAAGTAGGTGGAGCAGTGTCAAATCCTGGCCATTCTGTCTCTGGGAGGGGGAAGGAGACTGTCTGCCCTCTGTGTTACCTCCAGGACCTAACATAGCTGAGTGCATAGTAGGTGCTTGGTAAAACAGTGAACCACGAGCAGGGAAAATATAGATGAAAATAAGCCTAGGTAAGAATGGGCAGGGTTGTTCTCCCAGTCCTGTATCCATAGGGCATGAGCAGGACAGTCAGAGATAGGGGACAGGTGCTGTCCCCACTGTGTTCCAAGGGAGGTACCCCTGCATCTGTGTTTCCGTACATGAGCCTGGTCTGCATAGGGCCCTTGCATGTACATGGTCAAGTGCACTGAGCTGACGTAGCCATCCCAGCTGTTGAATGTGCTATTCTGGGCTCAGACAAACCCTGCTACAACCTAAGATCACTATATAAAGCCATGCAAGGATGCCATTTACCCAGTCCCTCAAGTTGCACAGACTCAGGGCAGCCCTCCAGTGGCCAGGCCAGTGCATGACCTTGATCTTATACTGGAAACAGGAATTTGATGGATTCTTTGCTTTTTAGGTCGCAGGTGCAAGTGCAGCTTCAGTCAGAAGCCCCGGTAAGAATACCATGGCTCTGGCCATCTGGGGTGACATTAGGAGGGCTGGGGAGGGGCTTCTGGCCTGTGACTCTAATGGGCATGCTCTTGGATTCTTATCTTAGAAAGAACGTGTGTGCGTTGGTGGGGGTTAGGGGTAGGGGTATGAGCTTGAGGATTGCCAGGAGACCGTGGGGCAAGGGAGAGGTCAGAACATTGAAACACCAGTCTGATGCAAGAGGGAGCAGGGGAGGTGGGGAAGAAGGAGCTGGAACCTTGTCTGGACCCTTTGCCCCGCTAGGCTTGGGAGATGGGAAGCAGAGGGCCTTGTGGCCTCTCTTGAGGTCGTTTCTCTCTACGGAACCCTGAGATGCTGTCCTTGTGCCTCATCTGTGTGGGGCTCTTTGAGCTGAGTACTCTGTTTCTGTTCCCCATCAAGTTACACCGCATTAACCCACTGCCATAACCGAGGGTGTCTTCCAACCTTGAAAGCACAAATTCTGTGGCAGGGCACACCCCAGCCGCCACATGGCCCTAGGTCACCTTCCCAGTACTTAGTTATCTTGGGGGCTGACTGAGAGGTGCCTGTGAGTTCCCTGTCCCCTTCATTCCCAACTTCTCCCTCACCCCACAATGCCCCATGGTAGGCAGTGCTTGAGCCCCTCAGAGGATTTGGAGGGGCCGGGTCTCAGATGGCCCTGCTCCACCCAGCATTATATTCTGGGTTTGCCCCAGAGACCTCTGACAGGCCGTGTCTTTCTCTTACAGGGCTCCAGGAGACGAGGAAGCCCAGGTGGAGAACCTCATCACTGCAAATGGTACCCAGCCAGATGGAATGCAGAGAATGGAGAGGGTCTTCATGTGTGCCAGGGAGGGGCTGGTGCGAGGGGCCATGGCCTCCTCGGGGATCACCAGACACGCTCCCATAGTGCCAGGAGTAGGCTTTCCAGGGTGTCTGCAGTGTTACCCCTCACCTGGGCCAAACAGGCCACTATAAGTGACACTCTTTACAGAGCATCTGCTTTGTGTTGAGCACAGACCCATCTCATTAATGTGTACTTGGCCCATGAGGTGGGCATCACTACTCAGGTTTATAACTGAGACCCAGAGCCCAATTCTTGTAACCAGCAAGTAGCAGGCATGGATTTGTACCCACATCTGTGTGATTTGAAGTTCCCAGCATCATGTACAGGTTGGCTGCAGCATGGGTTGGGCCCTGGGTGAGGGACTCATAACTGTGTCTATTCTGGTTTTCTGTCTAGCAGCGGAGCCCCAGAAAGCAGAGAACTGAAGTGCAGCCTCCAGTGAAGGTGAGATGCTCTGTAACAGGGTCTTCCACTGTCCTGTTACTGTCATGGAACCTGGGCAGGGGCATCAGGTGGGAAGTCCTGGGCTGCAGGGGGTGTGCAGCTTTATTGTGAGCCTGCTCTGAGGAGGCCTTCAGAGGTATGAGAGGGACAATGGAACACAGTCCCAGAGACAGCGAGGTGCCCCACAGCTGTGCACAGTGAATGTCTGGGAATCCTTTCTACCTAGCCCAAGGCTCAGGCTTGTAGGTTGCTATTCCAGCCAACACACAGGCATGACTTGGAGGGAAATTAGAGTTAGGGAAACCCTCCCTCTATCAAATTGCAGAAGGATGATGAATCAGAATGTACCCTATAGCCTCTTTCTGTAAAAAAATAAATTATCATCTTTTCGACCCTATTCAAAAGTAGGGGAAATAATAAATGATGTCCTCACTCCCAGCAGCATTACCACTTCTCAACACCTGGAGGCACTGTTTAGCACCCATTTCCTTCACTCTCCTTAGGGGGTGTAGGAGAAGGCATAGTGACTGGTGACTAGAATCGCTGGAGCCTGCCAGCTGTAAATCAGATAGGTGGGGCTGAAACCTATTTTATAGTTGAAGAAATTGAGATAGGAGAAAATAGCCATTCAGATTAGTAGGTGACAGGTTCAACCTGAACACAGGTCCCTGTGACTAACGGTAGCTTAGTGGCACCCCACTGCACTCTGTCTTATCTTCATCCCTTTAGGACAAACCTTGGAATATATGAAGGCCAAAATCCAGTCTTTTGTCAGCTCAGATAAGATATACTATATAACTTATCCTACATTGCAGTGAAGAGAGGTTTCACCAGCTTTCTCTGTGATGGCAGTAATGAGCTGTAGCACTTCTGTTCCTTTTAAGGGCATGTAGGCCCCATGGTGGGTGGAGCAGGGCTCACTGAGACCCGTCTTCAGGATGGGGCTCTTCAAGGCGAGTGACCACCCAAGCTGGGAGGGTCATGGGGCCCCGGGAGGCAGGTGTCTACCTGGTGGCTCCATGTTCTGCCCACGCACTGCAGCTGGCAGGGTGCACTGAGAGTGTGGGATGGGCTTGGAAGACTGCAAGGAGGCAGGCTCCAAAAGGAATGTTGTTTTCTGAAACTAGGTCTTTCTCAAAAGCCCTTTTCTCCTAAGTCCAGGCCTGTGAGCAGCTGATGGGACTGTCTAGGGTTGCCCAGGTGCAGCCCACAGGGCAAAGACCTCCTCCTGAGCGCCACCCCTCCCCATGCCTGCATCTCCTTTCTGTGCCTCTCAGCCTGTCCTCCTCACTGCAGCAGGACAGGGGGCTTTGAAGGGATGTGATCCCAGGGATTTCAATGGGCAGCTTGGCAGGGCTGAACAGATGAGGGCACTTGAAAGCAGCTAGAGTTTTATTTTTATTTAAATTCTTTCCCTCCTCAGCCTCAAGAACCTGAGGGCAGCTGCAGCAACCTTTAGATGCAGATATCGATAAGAAAACTGGCCATTTCAACCACAAATCTTTCCCCAGGAGAAGCCAACAACTCGTGTGTCCCTTGCACCCTCCCCTGTCCCTGCTAACCCCAATTCTCCACATATCATGCATCTCACACGGGCCTTCCACACCTGCAGCCTGCTGTCTCGTCACTGCCTGTGCCGTGTCTGTATGTGTGTGTGTATATGTGTGCGTGTGTATATGGTGACTATGATCTTTGTGGCTATTTGTGTGTGGACAGTTGCATTTGTGAACTGTGGATTCACTTTCCTGGGCAGGAGCTGTGCCCAGTTGCCATCTGCTCCTCCCTGCCACCCTGGGGGCCTCCATCGCTTCCTACTCCCTAGAGTCTGCTTTGCCCCTAAGAGACCTGCCCCCGTCTTGATTTGGGGATGAGGGTAGAGTAGAAATCCCCACCTCTCTTGGGACTGGGAAGGTTTGCATCACCTTCCTCATGGCCTTTCACGGACCCTCTTCAGTCCTTTCGCAAGAACCTTGCTCTTGTATTCCATCCCGACCGGAGTCCGTTCAGAAGGCCTCAGCAATTGGAAGTCCAGAGAAGGAGGCGGGGAGCCCAGTGTTGCTGTCAGGCAGGCTCGCCCGACCGCAGTTCTTTTTCTTCTTGGGGCTTCCGCCATGGAGTCCCTACCTGTCCTGCCCCTTGGTGGAGCACCGGGATGTTCAGGCCCAGGGCTTCTACTCTGCCCCTTGGGAATGTGCCCCTTGCATATCTTCTCAGCAATAACCCCATGGGCTCTGGAGCGCGGCTGCCCTCACTTTCCGAGACGTCCATCTATAACCCAGCTCTCTCAGACTCAGTGTCCCATTCCTGAAGGTGGGTCCCGGGCAGTTGATGGCTGAGGGATTCCCATTCCATTGGGGTCAGCATGCAGGGAGAGCAGGAAGGGCTCTGCTTCTCTGCCCATGTCCCGCTGGCCAGGCAGCAGCAATACCTCCTGTGTCCTCTGCACCTGTCAGTGGTCAGAGTGGTGAGCGATGTGTGAGCAGTGGTTGTGCTGCCGGTCAGAGGCCAGCAGGCTTGCACATAGCCCTGCTGCAGAGCAACAACAAGAAGTTGAAGGTCATAAGAGAGTGGAAACTCCAGCCAGATCCCTCCCCACTTGTCCATTGTGTTCCCATGGAAACTAAACCTTGCCATGTGACCAGGACTGCTGCTCTCTGTCTTGTGATCTATCCTCTCTACAACAACAGAAAAGAAATAAAACATCATTGTTTCCTAGTGGCTCTGAGGTGCTTTTCTTTCTGTAAAGAGCTTGAGTATTTGTAGGGCCCTTGGCACTCGGTGGAGGTAAGGGCTGGACAACCGCCAGGGGACAGCGTGTTTCCTAAGTGGCTCCTCCTCCCCAGTCTCTGTTTTCTCCTGTCCTTCCATTTCTTCTTCTACCCTATGCCTCCTTTTTTAAAAAAATTTTTATTTTGCCATATGGGGGATTGAACTCAGGACTCTGTGCTTATGAGGCCGGCCCAACACCACTGAGCTAAATCCCCGGTCCCCTATGCCTCCTTGTCCCTCTTCCATCCTGCTCTTCTTCCCCCAGCCTACTCCCTGGGTCCCTGGGATCAGGCTCCATCCTCCAGCAGAACCTGAACATTTGTACTATCTTGGAAGACAAAAGACAAGGTGACAGTGGCTTGACCAAGGGCTCACTGGCCTGCAGTAAAAGGTCCTACCTAGCTTTTCTTGGTCAGTTTGAGGGCCATTTACCTAAGGACTTGAAAGTGAGGGCACATGTGGGTCACTTGAGTTATGCTCAGAGCATTACCCTCCTTTCTTCCCACTCAAATGCCCCCTCCTGTGGGCAGCCTTCCCGGACGTAGGTGGGAAGTATCCCTTTCTGTGCTCTGATCACATTTGGTTCCTGCCGTTATCTTCACACATAATACTTTATCTGCCATCCAAACTGCAGAGGCCAGGCAGATTATGTCACTAATTCAGCTGTGAATGGGGCCTGGGGACCTGGGTGTCACCTAAAGCACCCTCCCCCAAATATTCCAGTACCACTTTTTTAAAAGTACCGTTGGCCAAATAAACACAGCTATGGGAGGATTCTGCTGGCCTCACCTAGCCTTTTGGGTGTCTGTGGTGAGACAGTTTCTCAAGGGAGAGGAGTATATCTAACATCTCAGGGTCTCAAAGAAACCTTCATAGCCTCTGTCTGGATCCCTCAAGTGTTAGTCTCAGAACTGGAAGGCTCAGATCTGAGGGACTTGGCTGGGTCCAGCCTCTTCCTGAGCACCCCTGCCCTTGTTTGGGAACTTTCCCACTCCTTTCTCCCTTCTGCCTCCATCCTCTGGGTCTCCGGAAAGACAGAGACTTAAAGCTGAGATAAAGCTCAACATTGTCAACCCAGTGATGATGGGCGTTAAAAAAAAAATCTCATGTAGCCTAGGGTTGGTAAATTGGCTGACGACCATCATTTGTGGTGCACTTAATGTATCAAGGAGTTCATGGGCCTTGAAGCAGGTGATTGAGACCCCTAGAGGCCCCAGAAACAAAGAAGATTGTGGGTGCCTCTCACATGTGTTGAAAACAAAACATTAAAATAAGTGACTCCATTGCCCTAATAATAGAGACTAACAGTTATCACTGTAGCCTATGTGCAAAATGGTTATCCCAACTTTGCCATTGTCTCAGGACCCACTTAGTTTTCCTTCTGGCTATCTCAGCTCTATTCTGGCGTAGCAGGACAGTGCCATGTTACAGATTCTCTGAATATGTTTGAGATTGGCCCCAGCTACACAGCTGGTGGGCACAGAAGCTGGGGGTGGACCCCAGGCTCTCCGCAGCATTATGAGACTGATTTTCAGGGGAAGGGCAGGTGACCTGTTGGCTGATGTGGCCTCCTGTGGAGCATGGCTGACCCTCCAGAGCATAAATTACCCAGGCTGCTCCAGGCAGGCTCCCACAGGAAGCTTGGAAATAAGACGCATGAGGAACAAAATAACTGATGAGCAAGGCGGTGACAGTAATGACAGCAGCTGACATTCATTGAGCACTTCCATGTGCTGGGCTGAAGACTTCACACGGATCAACTCGTTCCCAACTCACTTCCTGGAGCACTGGAACCCCAGGAAGGCAGGCCCAGCTCTGCGTTCACTCAGCCTCCAAGCGCGTGACACTATCTGACGCTTGTTTCTTTTGTGATTTGGTTTAATGTGGCAAATGTAATTTGCTTGAATGGGCAAGCTGTTCCTTGCCCTTTCCCAGAAGGCTTGCTAAGTCTGAGACTGACCTCAGGGGCCCTGCAGATTTCACCTCCCAGCTCCATGCATCTGACCCCAGAGGTGTTCACATCTCTGTGCAGAGGTGTTCATAATTACTGCACGCCGTGATAAAGATAGATCGATCTGCCTTCTGGGCCCCCAGGTGCAGTGGCCCTCCCAGCTCTCTGGTTTTTGTTTGGTTGGGGGTGGGTTATTTTGTAGATTAGAACTTGCCAAACAGCTCTTGGAAGAAAGAGGCAAAGTACAAGCAGCAGTGGTGGTGGGGAGGATGCCAGGCTGACGTACACTCCCAAGGTCGCCAGGCACTTGTCCCCTCCCCCAGGACCATGGGCTGGCGGAATGGCTGGGCAGGGCCGGTGGAGGAGGGCTCTCCAGCTCTGTCTGGTTTGCCCCACCTTGTCCCTGTTGCTCTGCCTCACTCCAGCCCCAGTGAGAGAAAGGGGTCAGGTGTATTTCCTTGAGTTGGGGGTGCAGCTTTGGAAATACCTGTCTCCAGGGTACAAAGAGGAGGAACTGCCACCTCCCTCCATTAGTGTGATTCATTGCTGCCATCGCCCGGATACAGGGGGGGCCGGAATCAGCCAGCTCAAGCCAACCACCTGCTGGATTTATGGAGCCAGGGCCAGTCCCACAGCCGATTGTGCAATAGTAAGCAGCTGTCAAAGCGGTGATGGCAGGCCAGGTGATGCTGCAGTCAGATACCCCGAAGGACTCAGGTAGTAAGGCTGGAGGGGCCGGGTTCCTCCCTCCAGGCCCCCGTGCCCCTCTTCACTCTAGCTGCTTGAGCTTCAGCAGGCCCCAGCCTCTCTGTAGGTTTCCTTTAGTTCTTCCTCCATAGGGTGAGCAGGGCCTCCTGCTAGCTATGTGACCCTGGGAAAGCTCTGAGCCTCAGTGTCCTTAACTATGAAATGGAGTCATCAGTAGCTTCCTGTTATTCCATGGGTCAAAGGGATACAATGGACATAAATGCACTTTGAAAATTCTATGTGTAGATGTTATGTTACCAACATTGGCTTTACCATCCATTCCTATCTCCTCTTTCTTTGACAGCAGGGACCCCTTCTGTCTCTGAGATCTGGGTCAAGTTCTGACTCGTCCACATCCCACCTGCACTTTTCCCTTCTGTAAAATAGGGACCACAAAGCCTGCCTAGTTGAGTTGTTGGGAGGGGCAAATCAGATTTTTGTAACTCTCAAAACATCAACTGGACAGGACTTCTGCCAAGTGAGGAGGCCTGGGCTCCAGGCTTCATGAAGATAAAAACACTGAAGAGATGCTGTGATCTGAGTCTTCCACAGGCCTGCATGGACCTTGTAGTTGGTCATGACCACAAAGCCACTGGACGCCATTTGGGCCACATCAGTGCCTGGAGGCAGAGGAGGGAAGGAAAGGGCAGATGGCATGGGTGGGCTGCTCGGGAGATCTTCCTGGAGGCAGAGGGCCCAGAGTGGCTGCTCAGAGCTGCTGGAGGGTGTGGTTACCGGAGGGAAGGGCAGCAGCTGCAGAGAAAGAGCCTCTGTTCCCTGTTCCGGGGCAAGGCCAGGCATATGTTCTGAGAAAAGTCAGGAATGTATTTTTCTCCAGGGTGTTCGCTGTGGGAGAGGTGGATCGAATGGGTTTGCCCTTGTCACCAGCTGGTGACTTTGACTCTTAGAGTACATTGCCCTTTGGCAGCTCCCAGGACCTCTGTGCCCCAACAGCTTGGGCCATCTTGAAGCCACCACTTAAGGAATGGACCCTCCAGGGCCCACCTCCTCCCAGACCAGCCTTATAAGACCCCAGGGACCTGGAATCTGTGACCACAGCAGGAGACAGGAGACAGCACTCCTTGGGGTTCAGGACCTCTGGGTGGCATAGAAGGGGCTACCACCTTCTCTGTCCAGTGGCTTTGCATGCCGTGCAACTGGAGATGGACCTGAACCAGGGACCAGGGCTTTCTAGGGGTTCTGGCCTTTGCCTCAACAAAGCACCCTTGCAGCTTCACACAAACATCGAGAGGAATTGGGTTGAGGGCCTGGAGTCCGAGGCTCTGGACGCTGACCTGAAGCCCCCTGCAAAGCCAGGGCAGAAGGGGCTGGAGAAACCCATCCTGGGAAGGTGGAAGGCGAGGGCCTCTGTACGAGTATTTCCTTTGAGCATCAGGGAGACAAAGTTCAGCTGGATGTCCCAGACTGTTGCCTCCCTGCCCCCCAACCCAGTTACCCCCCACCACCACCAGGTTTCCCTGAGGCTCAAGAGTCAGGAGACAAAGGGAGGCCTGCCTGGAGGAGATAGGAGACTGAGGCAAAGCAACTGAGGGCACTGTCCCATTGGGTGTGACAGTGATGAAACCCATCCAGGAGTAGGGACTCTGTCTTCCTCCCAAAACCTCCTAGGTCTCTGGGTCTGGAAGGGCACAGCAGGCTCAACTGGATGCTCCTCTGTGGCTTCATCCTGGAACAACCAGACAAAGGAGGAGAGCTGGGGTCTCCACATGTCTTGTGGCCTTTCTGGAACCGCAGAGTAGAGTTTCCATGCCAGCTGGCCTCCCTCCCCAGGGAAGACTGGAAGAACAAGAACGGAGGCCAGACCCCAGCAGGGAAAGGCCACGCTGCTTGGTATGTCTGGGGAGAAGCAGCTTGGGGACAGTGGGTGGTGGCTGGCGGAGGTCCTGCTGGAAGGTCAGGGAGTGAAGGGGCTCTGAGGGACCCCATTTCAGAGATCACCCACTGGGGCCTGAGCCCAATGAGGGGACTGCAGTGACCATCGTGTCGCCTGGGAACCCAGCTCAGCATGAGGAGAATGAAGCTGCCCTTTGTTAGGATCTCCTTTGCCCAGCAGTCCTGCAAGGTAGGTTCTCTCATCCCATTTTACAGCTGGCAGGAGGACTGTGGAGAGATGTTCTTCCTCAGGGTCATGCAGTGGAAGGGAAGGGTCAAGGTGCAAAGGGATTTGATCTCAGGTGGTGTGGCTTTTGGGATGCCCCTGCACTTACTGACCCGGAGGAGGAGACGTTGTCCCAGACTGTGCGCAGGGAAATGTGAGGCATGGGTTAAAGGGGCCAAGGCCACTCTGCAAGAGAGTAGCGTGTCTCAGACAGGGCCTCCTTGTCCCCAGTGCCAGCTAGGACCTGATGATGGCCTCAGTGGGGTGGGGAAGGACAAGGAAGAAGACTGAGGAAAGACTTGGGGGTAGTGAGGGATGGGGTGGGACCTCTGCAAACCCATATGGGCTTCCAGGGCTGGGGAGGAGAAGGAGGGGAGGGATGAGATACAAGAGGAATGAGAGAAAAGCCCCTTGAAGGACCCTGGGGAAGCAAGGAGGGAGAACTGGCCATCCAGGAGGACAAACCAGCCCAGTTACCTATTGTGGGCAGGTGACGACATGGAAAGAGGGCAGCCTTAGGCCAGCTCCAGGTTCACTTGTGCCACTGACAATAATATCACCCCTCTGGGACCAATTCATTCACTTAACAACGGGGTCCACTATGGGCCATCCTGGGCCCTTCGCGGATACAGGAATAAATGAAGACACAATCCCTGCCCTCCTGGAGTTTATCTTCCTGTTGGGAGAAAGGCAAACAAGATAAGGAAAACATTTAACTTGTCGTAGTAGTACTAAGTGCTACAGAGAAAAATAAAAGCTTTGAGAAGGGGTTTGATGTGTGCCAGGAAGTGGTGTGAACAGTTTAGACAGGGAAGGCACAGAGGCCTGCCTGAGTCAGTCCCTGAGGAAGACCTGAGCCCAGTGTGAGCTGAGCCAGAACTCTCTGGAGGCTGCTCAAAGGAAGAGGGGTGTGTGCCAAGGTCCTGAGGCAGGAGTGAGTCCTGGGGGTCCAGGGGGCCATCAAAACAACCGGTATGGCTGGAATGGAGAGATGGGTAGGAAGTTGGAAACAGGTTCACACAAAAACAACCTTGGTTCCCTTGAGGGGGCTTGACAGGAGAGTGAACCATTTTGCCAAGTTTGGAATTGGATGGCATGGCCTTGGGGACCCTTTCCAGTTAGTTTCTAACACGGTCTTTGTTTGAGATCAGGATGCTCTTCTTTATAGCACCAGGCTGGGGGGAGGGATCACAGAACTTGTATATGGGGGTACAGAGGGGTCCAGCTGAGAGTTTCACTTGGCTGTACCACTGATACAATGTTTGGAAACGCCCCTCATCCGTAAAGTCCCATCTAGTCCTAAGATGTCTACACATCTCCAGTGCCCAGCTTGGGGAGTTTCCACTGGCAGCTCTGGGCTATCTGAATTGTGCAGGTTTCCACCTGGGAACATGTGACAAGGCCAGTGGGTGAGGTGGTCCCACTGTCGTGGGAGGTCAGGGCTGCTGGCTCAGGGCCCCAGAATGGGCTGCAGCCCACCTGTAGAAACCCCTCCAGGCCAGCCAGCTGGTCTCCACTTCAGAGCATGTCCTGCCCAGGCAGCTCCTGGGGCCATCATTAGTCCTCCCTGAGGGCAGGAAGTACTCAGGGGGACAGAGAGGCCGGTTGTCCAAGTGACCTGCCCCAGCCCCCGCTATTCAGTATCCATGCTGGGGTGGCCATGCCAGAGCCAGAGGGAGACCTTCTGGTCAGAGTCAGCCATACAGAGACTTCTTGTAGTGGCCTTGCACAGGGCCAGCAGCAGTGGCTGGAGCTCAGGGACTCTGAGACAGCATGGTGGGCTGTCCTGGCACTGCTCCTGTTGGCTTCGGGCTCCTGCCCTGGGACCAGAAGAAGTGTGGCCTTCCGCTGTTCCCCTCCAGCACCACGCAGCAGCCCCCAGGGGCCTCATTAGAGGCTGCTGTCTCTGGCTGAGTCCTCTGAGGGGTGGTGGTAGGCTTGACATCACAACTGGGGCAGTCTCCAGGGCTAAGTGTGTGGTGGGAAGGGAGGAAGAGCCAGCGGCCATGGGAGCAGCCCTGGATCCAGCCTTTCCCCATCTCTGCTCAGCTTGTAGATGCCACAGGAGGCTGCCACTTGTGCCCCATCCTCAGGGCCAACTGCGAAACATCCCTGCCCCGCCAAGGGCACATCTGGGCTGCTGCCAATCTGTCTAGGCTCAGGAACATAATGAGGCCTTGAGGCAGGACCTAGCAGGACAGAGGAGGAAGGCACTGTTCCTCCTGGGTAAAGGCTTGGGGACCCACAGGTGCCCTTGACTCTCTCCCTCAGCTTGGAGCCCAAAGGCCAAGGAGAGCATGAGGTCTCTGACTCTGCTGGCTTCCATCCTGGCCAGTGCCACCCAACAACCTTCTCAGGTCACAGCACAGAGCCCCTGGGGGAGAGGGGGCCGCAGAGGGGCTGCTATTTGCTTTGCTACAGCTCCTAGCTACCCCTCCTCGGGTGCCACGTGAAGGTCAGAGAATCACCCTCCCCTTCACGTGGGCCCCTCGCCCCACCCGCCCAGACAGGCAGCTCCAGGTAAGGGCTTCCTTCCCAGCCCCCAGCCCCCACCCCTTGCCGTGTTTCTTCCTGTCTGGACATAGCTGAGGACGGAGGGAGGGAGGGAGCACCACTCTTCCCATCCAGGCCCCAGGCACTGGCACTCCACAGCGCTCTTGGAGCATTGAACACAGCAGGCAGCTCCTGCCATGGACAGGTGGCACTTGGGTGAGTCCCCCCAAGCCCTGCGCTTCCCCACTGGCTCAGCCTCTGACATGGGTGGCCACCCCTTCACTTTCAAGTATGTCCACAGGCTTTCCAGAAGCACAGCAGAGGCAGAAATGAGGAGAGGCAGACTGTCTAAAGGAGGGCATCTCAGAGTGCAGGTGCTGTGCTTTCTGCAGAGCACAACTGAGCTGCAGGAGCTGGGGACATAGCTTGTCCAGCACCCACCTCATCAGTCCATCTGTGTGTCCACTCATCCATCTGCAGGAACTCGGAAGGCAGCCCACTGACTTCAAATCTTGGTTCCCTACTTCCTAGCTCCCTCTGGCAGTTATTTCACTTCTGTGTCTCAGCTTCTTTCTCCATAAAACACCTTCTAGTCATCTGTCTGTCATCTATCTATCCATATATCTATCTTTTATCTATCATCTATTATCTGTCTATCTATCTATCTATCTATCTACCAACCATCTATCAATCATCTATCTAATTTTCTACCTGATTTTTCATCCCTTATTATTCCAGAAAGAACCTATGGCGGCTCACATAGACAGAAAAAACCGCTCAGATATTATCATACATGTGTGTGAGTGTGGGGTGGGATCACACAGCCTTGGGGATCTGGGCTTTGCAGCTCTGGTTCTACCACTGTGTGTTTCAGGTGCGCCTTTAACTTCCCTGCCCTCAGTTTTTGTGGTTTGTAGAGAGAAGATCACAGCACAGCCCCCTCCAGGAGTGGTTTGGAGAGGAAATGTTCAGCCTCAGCTTCTTTGTCTGTAGAATGGAGCTAGCAGGGCTTCCATGGGTAGAAGCAGACAAGGAGCCCAGCACGTGCCCCAGCTTTATCAAAGGCTTGTTCCATTGTCATGTTTTTGTGAACATGCTTGGCTCTAAGCAGAAGGGAGCTGAGTGGGGTGGCAGGTCCTGGTGTAGGACCAGGGGTCTCCCTCCACCGCATTCTTACACATTTCACTGGAAGGTGACTAACGGCTTTTCTGAGGCCAACAGCTGACATTAAACCAAAGTTAGTGCCTGCTACTTCTCAAGTGATGCAGGTACAGTAGTAACAGTGACATGTGCGGTGGCCCAGGCCACACACTAAACTGTTTGCATACATTATCAATCACCCCAGGTGGTGGCTGCTGTGCCCACTGTACAGGTGAGGAGACTGAGGCACAGAGAGGTAAGAAACCTGAGAAGGGCCACAAGAAGAGCAGGTGTCGATCCCCTGCCACGGCTCAGAGGAGATTCCCTTTAGAAGGAAAAAACTTCCCGGTGGACTCTGCCTACTGGCCTCGGCCGTTTGGCTACCACTGGACAGCAGCCTCTTCTGGAGGTCGGTCCCACTGGCCAGAACTCAAAGAGAACCATGTAGTACCCACCTGTGGGGGACCTGCCCCAGCATTCCCGAGGGGAGGGAGGTCACAGCAGAGTGGCCTCCACCGGGGAGGCAGCCTAGAGCCATAGGCCTGACTGTCAGTCTCCCCATTGCACTCACTGGAAGTGTGACCTTGGCAACCTCTCCATCCCTCAACATCTCATCTGTAAAGTGGGGAGCTAACACAAAGCTGAAGGAAATAACACTTTTTAGGAAAGTGCTTTATAAACCATAAAAGCAAAGCTTTGCCCCAGGATAAGCCCAGGCCCCTTCCTGAAAGAACCTGAAAGGTACTGGGGACACCTGAAAGTGGGAACAACTTGAGAGTGCACCCCACGTCTGCAAGAGGGAAGTGGGGGTGCAGAGAAAGAACACTTAGCTGAGAATGGCGGGAGCCTCCGTGGCCGAGGTGTGAGCCAGCCTGGTCTGAGATGGGTGAGTGAGATGACTCTGGCCCTTACTGGGCTGAGAGGCCTGGGCTGAACTTGCCCATGGGCTCAGATGGTTCTGGGGCTACAGTGGGAGGGGAGGCAGCTGGGCACCCCAGGAAGCCTCGAATGCAGAAAAATCAGCTGTGACAGTGGCGTTGCAGGGGTGGGTGAGGTGGGCACCATGCTGCCCCAAGAGCCCGCAGCACACACTGGACGCACTTGGAAACTGCCGCTTCTCCGTCACATGTGCAGCCGCGGCTTTCCCAGTGGGAGGACGAGTGCACTGCTGCCCATCCCAGCCATCCCTGGGAATTTCCAGGGGTTGGCTCCCCAGCCAGCGGCTCCCTGCCCCAGCCTCCCAGACACCTCCTCGTGCCTCCCCTGGCAGCAGCCCCTCCATGCACACCCTGGCTCTTCTTGTGACCAGGGTAAATATTACCTGGCACTGTTAATGTTTAATGCTCCCACCTTGTCCCTGGCCACCCTGAGGCAGAGGCAGCAGGAGGAGGGGAGTGGAGACAAGCCTTATCAGCTAGGGAAATGGCAGGATTGTCCACAGATGACGGTGAGTGTGAGTGTGCGTGTGTGTGTAGCCCAAGGTGGCTCTGCTTGGAGACGGGACCTGGACCCCGCTCTTCCCTGTCCTGCCACCCCTGCCTTCCAGAGTATCCTGCCCTTCTGCATGTGCCAGACTCCTCTCTAAGAAAATGTGCGTTTTGAAAGAGAACCCTGTTTTAATCTCTGAGAAATTCAGCTTGAATGGTATCGTCTTGGGTGGGAGGTAGAAGGGAGAGATGAGCCTCCATTCTCGGCTTTCTGGCCCGCTCCTGCCCTGCTCCAAGGTCTCCTGCTAGGTCATCTAACTTGGAGCAGGAGGTAGACAGGTCTGTGGGCAGGCAGAGGAGCAGCTCCCCAGGTCACCTTCACAGGCTGGCTTCACAGGGAAGCCCTCCAAGGTCAGGTCACATCCCAGAGGCATCCTGTGCAGCCCTGAGCCCACAGGGACACCTGCTGATGGAGATGGCTTCTCATGGGGTGGGGGAGGCATCAGTAGACAGGAGGGAGGAGGCTTCCTGGTGTGCCCAGGGCAGTCCTAGCTACGGTCTAGCTTCGGCTCTGACACTAACTCCCTATGTGACCTTGAACAAGACCTGAGCCTAGTCTGGGAAGACAAACTTGAAGGCCTGCATGAGAACATTGGCCTGGGTCCATGGTCTTCCCTGGCCCCTGCCTTCCCAAGTAACCCGTACCTCAGCTCGGCAAGCACGGGTCCCTCCTGGCCTATTCACTCCTGGCTGAGGGACTGGCACTGGGGCCAACAGAGCTCAACAGGCCCAGAGGCTGCCTGCTGCCCGGGGCACAGCCCAGCACAGGTTGGGAGCTGCCAACAGGTACTGTGTCCCTGTGTCAGTGGGGGCTTGAGCAGGGCAGGAAAGAGGGGCAGCTCTGGCGGTGCTGGAGCTTTTCCTGCCAGGTTACCTCCCAGTGGTCTGAGGGCGAAGGTACTCAGCCTGGGGGCTGGAGGGCAGAGCTGACATCTGCCAGCCACCACTGGGGGCAGGGAGAAGTCACAGGAGGCCAACCCCGTGGACTGTAAAGCTGTCCTTCCTTTCCCCCACCTGAAAGGAGGTGCAGCACCTAGACCCTTAGCAGACTCCTGTCTGGGGTCAAATCCCAGCCCTGCCCTGTGCTTGCTGTGTAAGTGTGAGTCGCTTGCTCACCTTCTCTGCGCCTCAGTCCTCTCCCAGATTCTATGGAGCAGTATCAGTGCCTCGGAGGGTACATGAAATGGCAGGTTCCCATAGCTTTAGCTTGGCGCCTCCAAGCACTACGTGTTGATGTCTCTTAGATAAATGTGCTTAAGAGAGCAGAGTCCTGAAAGGAGCGGAGCCCCAGCTCTGCCTCTAGCCTCCAATGGGACTCTGAACAACTCTCCAGCTGGGCCGCAGTTTCCTCCTCCCGTTCTGTGAACGTGAAGGCTCTGTTTTATCCACTCATTCACATCACAGACATTCACTCAGCTCCTCTGGCAGACTGCTTACATACAGATCTCTGGGGAGCCGAGCTCCCGCCCTTCCTCACTGTGGCTCGAGGCCCATGTCCTCCAGGGTGTGAGGAGCCCCTCAGACTGCATGGGTCCCTGCTCCAGTGCGCAGGGTGTGGTCCCAAGTTGCCTGTCTGGGGCAGCCTGGGGCAGATGCCTGCCCTGGCCTCCTCTTCCCAGGGCCTCTCTTACCAGTGTCCTTGTGCCCCTTGGCCCTCGGGGGCAGCTGGGACCAGCCGGACTGGCATTCCAGCGATCTGTGATGTCCCCCTCACCCCACCTCTGGCTTTCTCCCCAGGTGGCAGCTCCAAGGGCGACGTGGACCCCTTCCACTATGGTGAGCCTCCAGCCCCTCCACCCCACCCCCTCGCCCAGCAGCGGGGTCCCGGGGTCCCCGCACGCTCATCCTCCTTCCCTCTCACAGTTACTGTGGGGCTGCTGCTGGGCAGGCTTCGGGTAGAAACAACTCCATCCCACCTCTCCGGGCCTCTCTTTCCCCAGACTACGAGACTGTCCGAAATGGAGGCCTGATCTTTGCTGGCCTAGCCTTCGTCGTGGGGCTCATCATCCTCCTCAGTGAGTGGGGCTGGCTCTGGCTGGAGGAGTGGCTGATGGATACACATCCCTCCTGAGGTGCCCCAGGCCACAGCCCCTCAGAACATGGGAAGGGGTGCCCGGTGGGAGGCCAGCACCCCTCTCCCTCAACCCTAAGCTCCAGTGGACCCCGAGGAGCTGGAGAGAGGGGAATGGGCTCTAGGGCTCTAGAACTTTTCAGGAAGCAGCAGGGTGGGGGTGGGGAGCCCACATTGATCTGGGCTCTTTCCTAGGCTTGAGCTACACCCCAGGCCATGTAACGCCCCACCCCTCCATGGCAGCACTGGGGGAGGCCCCTACATCAGTGATTGACAGTGGAAAAGCCAGGCCCAGCTGAGAGGCGCCATAGCCCCCAAGAAGCAGAACCAGGCTCAGCTGAGCCTCCTGGAAAGCAGGCACAGCTGGGATCAGCTCTGTGTCCTGGAATTCGGACATGCTCAGGGGCACTGTTGCTTACTCCGAGGACTTCTGCTGCGGGGATAGTCAGTCTCCCCATTTTGGGTAGTATTCGCTCTTTGAGAGCAACACTATGTAGTAGTTGAACACAGATGGGCCTAAGCAGGGATCTAGCTTTGAACTTACTGCCATCCTTCTCCAGGCATGTCCTGAGCACTAATGTATCTAGCACTCTACTGGGGGACCACAAGGACCAGTCTTAGCTGCCACTCTCAACATGCTACAATCCATCACAGACCCACTGTTTGTTGATTGACTGACTGACTGACTTGGACTCTTGAATGCTTACAGCACAGCACTTTGCAAAGAGAGAAATAGTCAAAATGTGAGCTCTAAGCCCCACACCATGGTGACACTGCCAGGAGGGAGGGAGGAGAGACTGGAAGAATTGAGTCTTCCTGGCTCTCCTTGGAAAATGAGTGGTCAATGAAAGTGAAACTTCCTTCCTCTTTTCAAGGCAAACGGTTCCGCTGCGGGGGCAGTAGGAAGCCTCGGTGAGTGCGGGCCAGGGGAACGATGAGGTGGGAGGCCAGGAACTTGTCTCTGGGGCCATGAGCTGGGGTCCCTGCCGACTCCTCCTCTGACTCTCCTATTTCTTCCATCCCAGGCAAGTCGGTGAAGATGAGCTGTAACCCTGGGTACGTTTGGGGGTGTGCCTGGGGGGCAACAGGTGGGAAGAAAGAATTTTAGGGTTGCCTGTGATCAGCCAGGTGAGAGGTCTCCATCAGTGCAGATGTGGGGAGACTGCAGAGCGCCCCAGAAGTTGTAAGCCAGACAGGGAGCCCTGCCGCTCCCTGGCTACGTCCTGCCTCTGCCTTTCCAGAGTTGGCTGTGCCCCCCGGTGCCCGGGCTGCTCGGGAAGCCAAGGAGGCCCGTCTTCTGCCTTTGACCCCATCACTACCACTGCTTGTGCTGAAGGAAGCGCCAGGCTCTGAGTGACCCCATGGACGCTGCCTCATGCTGTCTCTGCTCCCTCCGAGACCCTGCCTCCCTCCTCCTCCTCCTCCTCCTCCCTCCCTCCCTCCCTCCCTCCTCCCGTGTCTGCAGCCCCCTCTGAGTACAGATGCAGCCCGGTCTCACTTGTTTCCCAGATCACTGCCGCGCACCTGTCTGCCTATAACCACAAACTCAGTGTTGTCACCTGCAGGCTTCTCCTCACTGAGCCCAGATTAGAGAGAGCCTGGGGGACCGAGCCTCAGGCTGGCTTTCGAATGCCTGGCAAAGTTCAGAAGTCTGCAGTTTCAAAGTCAGGCCCATCAGTCCTGCTGTGGCCTCTAACCCAGGCTCTGGTCTTGCCCTGGGAAGCTGGGAGCTCCCGCATAGCTGCCCAAGTTGTGTCCACCCATGACCACATCCATATGCTTGGCTGTCCCTACAGGTGCACTGCAGGGCCAGGGTGGGTGGCCCCTGGTGTTGAACATCAGCAATGCTTTCTGGATTTTCCCCCAAACCCACCAACCTGTGTGTTAAATTCAGACCACCCTTTCACTATTCTTGTGGCCAGGGGCCCCAGCTGGACCCATTCCCACCCATCTATTGGGTGCTGGATTTGTCCATCCTGGACACTGAGCCATTGCTGCAGCCCCAGTCCTCCGGCAGGGACCCCCAGGGTAACCTCAGCCGGGGAGGATGTCAGTGCCCAAGTCCCATGGCCTGTGCCCAGCCTCCCTCTCGGACGCCCCCTCTAGGAGATTCTGTGCTGGGGATGGAGCCCAGCTTCCCTTCCCACAGAGGGCCCCAGGGAGACCGGAGGGCGGTGGGGCCATGGCACCACCATGGTCTGGTTTCCTACTGGTGCTACCACTATCTGAGGGAGGGGAAAGAGTTGCTGGAGTTCAAAACACACAGTGTGGGTTAGTGAACCAGTTCACCTGGGAATTAAGCTCTTTGTCCTGTCTGCTGCCCCCAGGGCCATGAGGATCACCAACCCTTGTGAAATTGCAGAGGGCTTGAGCAGAGTCAGTTCTTAGAGAGGAAAATAGATCACTTTCACTTACAGAAGGGGAAACTGAGGCCCCAAGAGGGGCAGTGACTTGCCCAGGACGACAGGGCTCTTTCTCCCACACTGACACCACAGTTGGGGTGGGGGCGCCCCTCTGTCCACTTGTGCATGTGGAAGCACTGAGGGAAGAGAGAAGCCTGGGGAGACCAGGACCGAGAGGGGAACAGCCTGGCCGTTCAGCTCAGCATCAAGGCTCACTGACAACGAATACAACATGGCAGGTGCACCTTAAATAGAATTTGGTGTCACTATACAGAGAGAGGCAAGCACTTGGGAGTCCTGGGCAGGAATGGAGCAGCACCACCTGGAGGGGTTGGGGAAGCGGGACTTCTGAAGCTTCCTGGAAGAGGAAGCAGTAAGAGTCGAGGGCAGGAGTCATATTTCTAGAATGAATGTTCTATGACCAGGCCCTTTGAGCCTGTCCCACTGAGGAGGAATCCTGGTGCGGTGTGAGTCACATCCTCTCTCCCACCCTGCCACAAGGTCTCCCTCCTTCCCCTTTAATCTCCAGATGCCCAGGATCTCCTTCCAGCCTGTGGGACCTGAACCTTGGGGTGGCCCATGAAAGCTGAAGCAGAATCAGCCCCCAGGGGCCCCTGCAGGGCAGCCAGGGCCAAGAACCACCACTCTAGAGGACATTCTGAGTCTGTGACCAGTGCCCTGGGGAGGATGCTGGAGAATATTTCTCCTCCCTTCCCAGGAAGGTCACATGGGCTGGGAATCTCTGAAATTTTACTTTGGAATTTTCCACAATTCAAACCTGTACTAAATCCAGAAAAACAACTAAGTCTGAGAAGTGATTGGATGAATTTTACAGCGAATCAACTCCACCCAGGCCCTGTTTGAGGGCGCAATTCCCTTTATCACCACCAGAGAGAGCCTGGAGCCCACTTCAAATCCCCTTCAATCGCGTGTTTTCAACGCAGCCTTTCCAAAGGACTTTGCCAGGGAGGAGAGGGCTGGGAAATGGTCTGGCCCATACCCGTTTTCCTGGAAGATCCCAGAGCTGTCCTCATTCTGCTTGTCTGCCCCCCCCCCACAACACTTGCCCTGCTCTGAGATAATTCCTGGCTGTGGGGTCTTGAGCCCTACGCCTTCCAGAGGCAGAAACCATATATGATCTCCATATTTCCACCTAAAGTCTGGGGCAACTGTGAAGCCTTGAAGCCCATAGATTGGGTCAACATCATGAGCAGGACCCTGGGAGGGGCAGAAATGTGGAGCCAGGGCGGTTGAGTGGTGGGAAGGGAAGAAGTGAGCTGCCTGAATGACCCTCTTCAGCCCCGGCTGTAGATTCAGATGCAATCCATGGGGCACCGTGGTCTTCAACCTTCCGGGTGACTTTGCTGTGGAGCCAGAGCTGAAAGGCACTTGGTCAGTGGGCAGGGTCAGGTGGGGGCGAAAGGAGCACAGGCAGGGAGGGCAGGAGGACCAGGGAAACTCCATGCCCCGTAGTCTGGGAAGGGCAGACAGCTCCACAGCGCCACCTGGCTCCCCTATAGTGATTTTCAGGGCAACAAGGGCCCAAAGATGCTGGCCTTGGACTGTGGCGACCTGCCAGTCCTGGTTGTTCCTCACAGCGTCCTTGGACAGCAGAGCTGGGCACGAGGCCCAAGGTGGGCAGGAGGTGAGCTGTGAAACTGCTGCTCTGTCCCATGCTCAAGTCCCCATTGCCAGTCTCACCCGGCCTCTGCAGTCTGTGTGCCCCTGGGGATGGGTCCTGGCTGGATGGGCAGGAGCAGGGCCTTGTCCTGCTTACACTTGGTTTCCCATCAGAGGAGCCATAGTTTGGGATTGGGGCTGATCTCCTGTGCAGAGCGAGGTGCCCCTGGCATGGGCCTCTAATTTTTCTGAAAGCTTTGGCCCTCAGGATCCCTACTCCAGCAATCCTGAGCTTTCCCCAGTTGAGCAAGGAAGGGGTGCCCCAAAGAACTCCCTTTGGTTAGCTCTGCTGGCCCTAACACTAGCAAAAGGAGTGCGCTCCCTGGACACATGGGGAGTCCCTGGCCGGAGGGAGGCATTGAGTCATTCCCTCAGTTCCCCTCCTCCTCACTCTGGGGAATGGGGCTGCTTCTGAGGAGACTGATGCCCTCCCTGCTGATCCACACATAGCCCCAGGTCGCTGAGCCCTGACGACAGTTCAGCTGTGGCCTCTGGTGGTGTGGGGTTGACTTGCTCCTGACTGCAGGCCTACCCTTCACGTGCCACGTCCACTTCACTGGTGGTCATGACAGAAAGATGGATCAGGCCTGAACTCATTTTGAGGACCACAGCAGTGATGTCAGGGCCGTTAGGGGGCAGCACTGAGACCAGGCTGAGCATGGAGAGCCACGGAGGTGCCCAGTGCCCCAGCCGAGGAAAGAAACTGTGGCTCAGACTTGGTGCCCCTTCTGGGGGCTCAGGCTGCAGAGGAGCATCCCAGCCTGGGGACCCTGATTTATTTCCCTGCCTTGCCTGACTCTGAGTGATACCCACAGCCCCACCCCAACCCCAGGAGGCCCCCAGTTGCTCTTGGGTGCTGTTTCTCTCTAGATGTCCAAACTTAGTTCCTTTTCAAGAAATCCTCAGTGTAGCCTCCCCAAGGGCTTCTGTGGTGTCACCCAGAGGGAGTCCCCAGGTGACCACAGCGGGAGGGAGGTAGAAAAAGGGGAAGTTCTGGGCCAGGGCAGAAGTTTGTAGCCCCAGAACATCTACTGTGGCTCAACAGGGACCACCCCAGGGGAAGTGAAAACCAGCTCTACCAGAGCTTTGTCCCAGGCCTGCTGTGTGACCTTGGGAAGGTCCTTGTCTGTCTCCGGACTTGGCTGTGGGAAAAAAAAATGTGAGACAAAAATTCCAAGTTTCAGCTTAAATGTCAAGAGGCAGTGACTTTGCAGGAGGAAGAGGTGAGAGGGAGCACTGTAACCAAGGCCTTTGCTCCCTCCTGGCCTCGGGATAACTGGTCTCAGAAAAGCTGGGTCCACACACCCACAAGCACATACTTGCTTCCTCCTCCTAGGGAAAGCAGAGGGCCTGGCAAGTGAAGAAGGCTGGGAACAGACCCACCAGGCAGAGCACAGACGAGGCCGGCGGGGCCCAGAGCCAGGCCGCTGTAAATTCTCTCCTGGTCTTTGTTTTCTGGAAGGTCCATCAATCAGTAACCGAGTGCGTGCCAGACGCAGCCCCTCCAGAACCCAGTGTCCTCTGCTTAGAAGTAAACGGTCTTTCAGGTCTCCTGTCTGTGACCAGGTGCTGTTTACGAAGTTAATAAAATCATTCAGGGTTGGCCTGAGCCCTTAAACAACCCCTGAGGGCCAGGAGAGGGAAGGCAGGGCTGGGACACTGCTCAAAGACACTTCCTGATCCCATTCCCCAGCTCCCTGGGGACTTGTGGGGGGCCCAAGATTCCTTGGATCTGATCTCCCCTCTACCCTGAACTACATGAGGGCAGGAATGGTGTCTGATGGTTCATCCACCACTCCCTAGAGCCCAGGCCCATTCTGGGCACATAGTATGTGCTCAATGAATGTTTTTTGAATCTACACATGATGGGCTGGCTAGAGGAATGAGTGAATAAGCTGTACTGGGAGAGGAGAGTTGTTGGGTTTTGGCATCTGGGGTAGAGTTGCCAGTGTGTCTGCTGACGATGTGGGGGAACCGTTGAGACCTGTCCCAGTGACAGCCATCATTTTGTGTCAGGATCACAGACTTGGGGAATGGGTAGACTTGAATTTGAACTCTGGCTTAGTCAATTATGAACTATGTGATGATGACCAAGCTCCTCTGAGCCTCAGTTTCCACGAGTGGAGAAACAATCTCAACACCAGCTCTCGGTCTTTTGGACTCTTTGTAGCAATGTGACTTGTGCTGCTCGCTTTCCTGGGTCCTGCCAGTCATCCCAGGCCCTTTTGCTCAGCACTTCAGTGTTTAGGGAAGTTCCATCCAAGCACAGTCTTCTCAGGACCCGATGGTCAGAGGCAGAGGCCCCTGCGTCCACCCTCAGATGGCCAGGGCCTGGGGACAGACTCAGGTCCCAGCCCCACACTCCTCAGCTCCATTTGAGCCATGACATAGACTTTGCCTGGCAGACTTTGCCTGGCCATCGGGAGGGCCCCACCCTCGGGAGGGCCCCACCCTGCACCCTCTGCTGCCATGGCTGGGGGCTCCCCATTTCCTTTGAGGCTGGGAGAGGGCAGACTGGGCCCACTGTGCGGGAACCAGGAGGATCTGGGACACAAGTTCCTTGATGACACATCCTGGGTGTGCGTGGGAATGCGTTTTAGTTATGTTGGGACTGGGGAGGGCTGAGCAACCCAGGAAGGGCCTGGCCAGAGGGTGGCCCAGCCTGGGGCCCCCCAAGTCATGCTCTGGCCCCACTCTGCCTCACGGAGACCTTCCAGGGATCTCAACCCCCTCCGCAAAGAATGACACCATGTGTCCCTTCCAGTAGATCTTGAGGCCACGTGGGCACAGGCTGGGGCAGAGACCATCTCAGGTTCTAACCTCTCCTATAAGGATGACTTGAGGTGAAGGCAGAGCCCATGTGGTTGTGAACCACAGTTGCCACCTTCTATGGTGCTGCCATCTCACCCTGAGGCACTAGGGGGCAGCACACACCCAGCTTCCCTAAGCAGAGGCTGGGTGGAGGACAGCTCAGACATCCGGCAGGGGCCAAGGTGGCTGAGGGTCCTCTCCAGAGAGTGGAACCACCCCGTGGGCTGGGCAGAGTTGGGGAGGGGTGCTCTGGTCCCTCCAGTCAGCTCTTTCCAGGGAGGTACCTGTGACAAGAATATTTTGGGCCACCACAGAGGGACCTGTCTACCTCACCCTGGAGCTTGGCAGGGAGCCACTTTAGCAAATGAGGCAAGACTCCTCCCCGCCCCCCCCATCCCAACTTCCAGACAAACTACTGAGCTCACCACTCCAAATCTGAGCCAAGGACCCTCAGCTCTGGAAGCTCACAGCCCCCCAGATAAAACGCTTCCTTTCCTTCAGACCTCACAGTGAAAACAGTGCAAAGCGGAATAGTGCAGCGGACAAGGTGGGGAATAGGCCTTGAGAAGTGCAGCTCTGTCCCAGCAAGCTGGGCATGCTGCATCATGTCTCCGAACCTCAGACCCTGAGTCTTCTCATCTGCAGGATGGGGATCATAATCCCCATCACGAAGGGGCTGAGTGAGATTCTTGTGTAAACCAGACACAAAAGCTGTCAAGTACTATGGAACATAGAATAGGATTGTGTTGAGGGCCAGAGCAAGGTTAACACAGGTTTCCTCTGGGCCAGGTAATTGCATGGTTTTCAGGCATTCACTGAGCAAATTTTTGTTGAATATTTGAATACTGATATGTGCCAGGCACTGTGTTAGGTGTTTTGAAAGGTGAAGTGCAAATTCTCTAATGAAGTACAGAATAGAATTCCCCAGAGGGTCCTGTGGTGCCAGTGCCAGTCCAAGGCTGCGCAAGGCTGCTTACGGGGATGTAAAATCTGGGCCTCTGATTCTGCAGCCTGGGGGTTCTCTCCATCTGCCCACATACACTGTTGCTGGTGCGTATGTGTGTGTGTGTGGGGGGGAGTTGTGTAGCTGAGTTTGGGAGCCTTTGATCTAGTTGACCTCTCCACTAAAGAGCAGAATCTGAGGCCCATCACTTGCAGAGACCTTTGGGAACACTTGTATCTTTTCTGCTTTCCCAAAGGGCACATGTGTCTCAGTACAGTGCCCAGAATACAGAACTGGAAGGTCTAAGTTGGAGTCCCTGCTCTGCCCTTTAGTATATGCACAACTTTAGCAAGTCACCTGCTTTTTGAGGC